ACAATCGGGCTTTTTTCTTCTAGAAAACGTTCCCATTCAGAATCAAGCACAACAAGTACAGATTCTGAAGTTGTTAAAGTTTTACACTGCAGGAAGAAAAAAATGTATGAAGTTGAGCGATTGGCTGGAATGGAGAGACAGAGGTTTGTTAACTGTATAGTTAGTTAGGCTTGAGTTAAAACTCTCGAGTATTTACTTTATAGTGAGAGGAATGTATTCATTCAATTTTAACATTAATATTTATACTGTCAATTTCATAAATGGCTTCTGCTAATAAATTATTGATTACCATATAAGTGAAATTCATCATTCATTCATTAAATATTCATTATGTTACTTTATTAGGATTTTGTGACCTGAGCCTGTAATACTGCCCTTGAATCATTATAATGATGAAATTAATTTTTAATTACTAATATTATAATAAAATTCACTACATTAATATAATATTATTACAATTAAATAATAAATTTAAAAAAATTAACATTCTTTTTAAAAAAAAAAAAATTTTTTTAAATATCGTCTTTTACGATTTAAGTAAAATTGAAATAATCATTCATCGAATAGAGCAAAAATTTTCTGTAATTACGATTAAAAATTTTTTTGGAATTTTTTAATTTGTGAATTTTACATACTTTCCATAATTGATTTTTCAGAGGTTGATTTATAGTTAAAATAAAGTAAAAAATAACAGTTAATAAAAATATTTTGTAAAGGTAGTTTGCATTTTACAATGTTAATATTTGATATTGAAGGTGTTTGATCGATTTGATTTTTGTGTGTCGCAACAACGCCAGCATTAATTAAAAATGCATTTAATTTTTATTTGTGTGCAGAAGGACAAGAGAATTAGAACAAAGAGTTGTCGAAGAGGAAACAGCGAAAAGAATTGAAGAAATGGTTAAAAAAAGAGTCGAAGAAGAACTTGAAAAGAGAAAAGATGAAATTGATGCAGAGGTAGAAAAAAGAGTGGAAGAAGCCAAAAGGCAAATGGAAGCACAAATGATGGAGGAAATGGAAAGGAGGAGACAAGCACAATTGGAATTGGAAAAAAAAAGAGAGGTAAACAAAATTTTCAATGAAAACCACCAAAATTCTCATTCAGTTCAGAATAAATTATTTTGGACTGAAAAAAATTTTTTTTTTCTTTTTTTTTTTTTTTGATTCCATGATCAAAAATTTTATAGGGGGAACTTAAAAAAAAAAAAAGCTAATCGCAAAAGTAAAAAAAAAATTAAGTTTTTTATTCTCACGTTAATTTAATTGTATATATTTATTTGTATAGATATTATAATTGAAAAAACGTTAATAAATTATTCCCTTTTATTATTATTATTATTATTATTATTCCCCGAACGTTAGAATTAATCAATGAAAAGTTTTTTTTTTTTTTTTTCAATCAATCATTATTTATAAAAAAAGGAAAACTTTTTAGGAAAACAAAACGGTTTTTTTTTTTTATTATTATTTTTTTTTTATTAATTGTTTAGCCGAAAAAATAATAGCAATAATAATAATAACTTTTATTTTTTAATTTAAAAAAAATCTTCTTTTTGTATCATTTTAACAATTTAAAAAAAAATCTTTTCAATTTTTTTTTTTTTTTTTTTTTTTTTTTATTTGTTGTTTTTCTTTTGATTATAAAAAAAAATTGTAATTATTCCCGAGTTGATAAGCCCGGATTAGTATGTCATTATTATTATTAGTATTATTATTATTATTATTATCATTATTTTTACTTTTATTATTTTTATATATATTGTTTTCCTTTTTTTTGTTTTTATTTTTTTTTTTTTTACAATCATTTTTTATATAAATTAGAGACTGTACGAAAAGACTGTTGGCAAAAAAAAACACAATTTCAACTCTAAACCTGTCCAAATTGTTGTTTGTAATCATTTTTTTTTTTTGGTTTCTGTTAATTTTCGAACGTTTTAATCGATTTTCAATTTTTTTTCCTACCAGTTTAAGGCACGAGTGTACGAAAAACAAAAAAAAGTAAAATGTTCTATTATTAGATTTGGTAGTTACTAAAATAATAATAATAATAAACTTAATTTGATATGTATCACTTTGTTTATACCGTGAATAACTTTATGTTAAACGGTTCAGAGGTTTAGAGTTGAAAAAAAAAGAATAATAATAATAACAATAACAATAGTAAAAAAAAAAAAAAAAAAAAAAGCAAGAAACAGTCTCGAGTTCAGTCATTCTTTAGCATAAGAAGAATCAAGGCAGTAGTTAATCAGTTATCGAAGATGAAATAAGAGCGAGAAGGTGACCGAGGTGAGCCTACCTGATCTAAAATATCATCAACGGAGTACAGGTATTTGATTATACATACATACATACATACATACATACATATACATATATGTACATACATTCGTATATACATATATCTATATGTAATAAATAATTTCTTTTTTATTTATTTATTTATTTACTTATTCAATCAATTCTCTATTAATAATTTGTTTGAAAGAAAAAAACAAAAAAAGCTAAAAAACAAAAGAAAAGAAAGAAAAATTTTTTTTAATTCTGTCACTTTTTTTTTTTTTTTAATATTTGTTGTTTTAGTAAATTTTTCTACGGATTATTCCCATATACTCCGACAAAATCAATTTAAAAAAAAAAAAAAAAAAAAATCGATCGATTAATTGATCGTTTAATTGATTGATTCATCGATCGAGATAAAATGAACGAATGAATTGTTACAGTGATAAGGAAATAATTATTGTGTTTTTTTTTTGTATTCGAATGAATGGCAGAAAAAGAAAAAAAAAATTTACGGGGGAATTGCTTGACCAAAGTAATAACGACGACGACGACAGTGAGGGGGGGCCCCCTCCCGTTGATTTTTCACGTTTTAACTCGTATAAGTTTGTAAAAAGCCTTATGGATGTTAAGACAAGTTTTACGAAAAGAACTACTAAAATTAAAACTACCACTACTACTACTACTACAACAATTATTTCTACTATTGCTTCTATTTTTGCATTCGGCTTCTTCTTTTCCACGTTTTTAAAACAGTTACCATTTTGAATTACATCTCAAAGGGTTTTAGACCTTTTTAAAAAAAAAAAAAGACGAGGGTGGACGAGAGTTTTCCTTCCCGATTTTCTTTTTTCCCATTAGGAAAAGAATAGGGATAAGGGAAGACAAAAAAAAGGAGGGAAAATTATACGAGTGTGTTTGTTTGAAAAATGAAATTTATTTTTTGTATGTTCAATATTGAAAGTATTGATTCAATTCAATCGCCATTTTCATTCGGATTTATTGATTCATTTTATTGATTTATTGATTGATTTTTTTTGTTTATTTCCAGATTCGTGTGAGAGAGAAAAAAAAAAAAACATTGATTTGTTTAGCGATTGCGAAAATCTATATGAACTATATATTTATTTATTTATTTTTCTTTTGTCATTTTGAGAATGTTTTTTTTTTTTTTTTTTTTTTTTTTTTAATCATTCTTTTTTATAAATTTTTATGTTATTTCTATGTGTTGTTGTTGTTTATGAATATAGGTGAAGGAGAAAAAAAAATATTCAATTTTTTTAAATATAAATATAAATAAAAAGAATTTATTTTCTCATAAGCATACGTATTTTGTTCTTTTACAAACGTAGTTTCTTATATTTTTTTAGGAAGAAGAATTGGCTAAAAGGCAAGCGTTAGAAGCCATCATGGCGGAAAATAACAGAAAAATCGAAGAAGCACAAAGAAAATTGGTGAGTTTTATTTTATTTTTTTTTTAATAAAAATCTTTTCGAATTCATTTGAGTAAAACAAAATTTTTTTTTTATTATGAATTACAGGCGGAAGAAAGACTTGCTATGGTCGAAGAACAAAGAAAAATTGACGAAGAAAGGCAGAAATTAATGAAAGAACAAGAGAGGCGAATAAAAGACGAGCAGAAAAAAATTTTGGGAAAAAATAATTCGCGGCCGAAATTATCGTTTTCATTAAAACCGTCTTAGTAGGATGATAAGACGACGGGGGGAAAAAAATTTAAAAAAATTTAGCCGCTTCGCGTTTTATTCAAAAGGGGAGGGGAAAAGGGATGGGGGGAAAATAATGATGATGCTGATGATGACAATGTTGATAATAATAAATTTTTTTTTCACTCTCTCTCTCTCTCTCTCACTCTGCAGTTTAAAAAATCAATAAAACAATTTGATTTTTGAAATGAGTACGAATAATGATGGGTGGGAAATTCGGGAAAAATAAGAGGGAAGGGGGGAGCATGGGGGGGGGGGGTTTGTTGCAATTAAGTTTAAAGGGTAAGTTTAATTAGTGCCCATTCAAAAGGTTTTTTTTTTTTTCTTTAAAGTCGAAAACAAAATGATAATAAGAATACACACAAAGTACATTTATATTTACATTTATAATTTGGGCTTTTTATTTTATTAATTTTTTCTTTTTTTCTTTTTTTTTTTTTTTAATTAATTAATTAATGCCACTTTGAGGTAATTAAAAGTTTTAAAAATTAAATGCTGTGATTTAATCAATTTTCCAATTGACTTTAGGAAAAAAAAAAGGAAAAAATTTTAGGCAATAATAATTGACTTATAATTGTTTCAGTTTTTCAATATAACACACGGTTTATTAAAAAATTTAATATTAATTGTTTGTTTGTTTCCGTTTTTTCTTTAAAACCTTTTTTTTTTTAATAGTACTATTAATATTATTATTATTATTATTATTATTAATTTAACTGAAAAAAGGTGTAATCGATAAAAAAAAGAAAAAAAAAAAGTCGATAGCTAATGGTTTCAATGACCGCCGGTTATATTTTGTTTTAAAGTATCCGAATATAATTAAAAAAAAATTAAGAGGATATCATTTTATGATAAGATGAATGGATTCGAACAAAGGGGAAAAATAAAATTTTGAAATTGAATATTATTAGTTGGGGAGAAAAAGTTGTGCTACGTTGTTTGTCAGTAACCTTTTTGGTATCGTGGTAGAAAAAAAAAAGGAAAAAAAAATTAAAAGAAATGCGAGTGATTTATATAATTTTTTTAATAATTTTTTATTGTTTTGCACAAGATTCGGTAAGTTTTTACAATTAATTTAAAATAATTTTTAACAATAATAATCTATAAATTTTTTTTTTTTTTTTCCCATCATCAGCCTTCACCATCGCAAAAATGTACAAATTTATCGACCATTAAATTTCCAATAACTTCATTTAATTGTTGGGAAAAATATGATGGATATTATGCTGATGTTGAAATGGATTGTACTATATTTCATTATTGTCAAACATTGCAACATCCAAACGGTTTAAATGAAAGTATTAAATGGGATTTTGCATGTCCTCAAAATACTATTTTTAATCAGGTAAAAAATTATTATTATTTCCCTAACAATTCCCTCTTGTTTTATGTTTATAAAAAAATGTTTTTTTTTTTTTTTAGAGAATTTTGTCTTGCACACCTCCAAGTTTTGAATTTGACTGTCAAAAATCAGAAAATTATTTTTATGTTAATCGTGACGTAGTTTTATCGAGCAACTCGATGAAAAAAATTGAAAATTCTAAACCTTCGAATGTAAATAATGGAAATCGTTTGACCATCGATGGCCCTGTTGTTTTACCCATTTACTACCCTGATTCGTCTGTATTAAATGATACAAAATTTTTTACATTGACAAGAGATTCACTCGAAACTCAAACGGTTAATTATTCTAATAAATACAATCCTTATTACGATAAGGAAAAACATTCGATTCATCTTGCTAAATTAAATAGTAAACTTCATACGAAAATTGCTGAAGCTACTTCTGCTAATTTAGAAAATAGTAGCGGTAAAAAAGTTTTGGTTTTATATCCAGTGGCTTTGCTTAATGCATTAGATGTTGTCGAATTGCATTAAATAATTTTTTTATTTGATTTTATCAGGGATTTTATAAACATATAAAACCATCATGTTTTCATTTATAAATTTTTGGTTAATTGATATTTAAGAAATATAATACTTATTGATATATTAGTTTTTTCTTTTTTAATTAAACCTTATTTTACATAAAACTTATTCCATATTGCACATTTTTATATTTATTCACTTACCTTAAGTAAAAATTTAAGTTGAAAAGAGAAATTCACCTTTCAAGGAATGCTATCCAAAGTTATCTTTAACTCGTTACATTTTAAATTAAAGTAATTTGTTATTTTTTCACTTTACTATTTACACTTTTACACTTTCAAAAAAAAGATTATTCTTATTAAAAATTTTAAGTAATTTTGCATTCTCATTTATATAGATTTAAGAAAAAAAAAAGAATCATTCAAAATGTACATTAATAATAACGTGAAACCGTTAAACTCGATCGAACGGAAATGACGTCACTTTACATATGAATTATAAAAATGTACTCTTTCGTTTTTAACGTATCTCGCAGGCTTTGTTTTTAGAAAACCCCTAAAATGGTGTTGTGTGTCAAGGATGATATAAGAGTTTTAAAATATTGGTAGTACTTCGTTAATAATTTTTATTTATTTTGTGAGTGAATTTCCGATTAATCAAGTGATTTTATATTAAATTTTGTTGAAAAAAAGTGATTTAATAATATGAAAAATTATTGAAACGTATAATTGCTTAGCGTTAATAATGGGAAAATTACCAATTTTGGTTAGGAAAAAAAAATAAGAAAATTATACTGGGAAATTCAAAACCGAGTGCAAATGTCGTGGAAATGGCTACTTCTACTATGCGATCTTTCAAATTACGTAAGTTTTTTTTTTATTATTTTACTGGTACGGTAAAAGAAAAAAAAAAAATTCATTAAATAAACAGGTTGCAATTATTGGTGAATCCTTTCACACATTCAACAAATTGCGTTATTTATTGTGTAATTTTACATTTTTTTTAAAATATAAATTTTATTTATGTAACGACTGTAATTTCTAGTTATTTTTTTTTTTCATAAAAAATAAATTAAGTTAATTTGTACGAATTTGTTTTCTTTACGTTATTGTAATATAATGGAAAATTTCATATGTTTTACCGACTTTATTTCCTTTCAAATACAAAGAAATAACGATTCGATTGCTAATAATAGATGTTTAAAATTTATTGCTTATCTTAATAACTGCTACTTGTATATTTCAAGGTGCTTATTAGTCATCATTTTAAAAAATAAAAATTAATGTCCTTTTTTTGTTTCTTTTTAACAGATTGTAGAAAAAATAAAATAAAATTTCAATGTACATGCATAAATAAAAAAATTATGTTAAAATAAATAAATAAAACTAAAAAACTTTTTGTTTTTTTTTCTTCGTTAATATGATATGCTTTTGTAATTTATTAATTTTTAGAAGAATTTATTGCTCATGAAGCAAAAGTCAATTGTTTGGCACTTGGGCAAATATCAGGAAGAGTTTTAGTAACAGGTGGCGATGACAAAAAAGTCAATTTATGGGCTATAGGAACTACAAATTACGTACTGGTAAGTAAAAAATCGAAAACCTTTTTTTCTTTAATATAAGATATTCCCTTGGCAGTAAATACGTTTAGTTGTATTGCATTTTCAAATGAGCAAGTTTCTTTTTCTTGTTATTTATTAGTTTAGTAGGTTCCAAGAAATTAATTGTTTGGATGCCTTAGGGAATATTATACTTTAATCTTGGCCTTAAATTTGAAAACTGGTTTGAAATTTTAATTTTTTGTTTTCTTTTCGTGACTTTTGAAAATTTATTTTAACAGAGTTTAAATGCTCATACAAACCCGGTTGAATGTGTGAAATTTGGGCACACAGAAGAGTTTGTGTGCTCCGGATCACAAGCTGGAGAATTGTATATATGGGATTTAGAAGCTAATAAAAAGACTCGAACATTTGTTGGTCATAAAGATGCAATTAAATGCATGGATTTTCATCCCTATGGGGATTTTTTAACATCAGGATCATTAGATACTTCAATCAAGGTTAGCAAACAAGTTTTTTTTTTTTAAAATCTTATGTATTTTCTCTTAAAATTCTCATTATTATTATTATTCATTTAAACAAATTTCAAACATTCATTTGTATTTGAGTATGTATAAATTTAATTTTTTATACTATATTTAAATGCAGTTATGGGATCTTCGACGTAGGGGATGTATTTCAAACTACAGGGGACACATTTTGACTGTAAATAGCGTTAGATTTAGTCCTGACGGTTTGTGGTTGGCATCAGGCGGTGATGATGGCGTCGTTAAACTTTGGGACGTACGAGTTGGTCGTCTTTTGCAAGAATTTCGTGATCATTTAGGATCCGTTCTCTCCGTTGAATTTCACCCTCATGAATTTTTATTAGCTTCCGGGAGTTCAGACGGAACGGTTAATTTTTGGGATTTGGAAAAATTTCAATTGGTTTCAACAACAGGAAAAGGATCGAATTCTATAAAGTATGTAATAAAATTTATCAATTAAAAAAAAAAAAAAAAAAAAAAAAAAAAAAACAAGTTAATGTGGGTGGTGGTGATGGTGATGGTTGGTTATTTAATTCTAAAAATATTTGTCTTTCTCGTTCTTTGAATTATATTTCATAATTTTGCGTGTGTCACAATTCTTCAACCTAATAATGGAAATAAATTAATCTTTTTTCTGTTTTTTTTTTTTCTATCAAAATTTATAGTTGCCTGCATTTTACCCCGGAAGGAGAATGTCTCTATGCTGGGGTTGAAGATTACCTCAAGGTATTTGGTTGGGAACCAGCCAGGACATTTGATTCGGTACCCACGGGTTGGGGACAAGTTCAGGACATGGTGAAAACTACCAATCAACTGGTAAATATTATAATTTTAATACTACGCTCAATTTTCTCTCTCTCTCTCTCTCGAATTCAGGTTAAGATAATTTCATTTTTAAATTTTTTTTGATTTTCGCGATTCAGTGGGCTGTCAGAACTGGTTTTTGTTTTTCAAAATCAATAAATTTATTATTGGGGGGGGGGGAAACAAAAAACCTACGCCAATACTCGCGAGCATTTAACTAGATTTTTTAATATTCTTAAAAAATTCTCAAAAACCCGTCAAAAAAAAAACAAGATTAAAGCAGTTCGTGAGTTCCCTCGTGTATCATTATGCAACTGAAATATTATTGTTGTTGTTTGCCTGATAACAACAACAACAAACATAAATTATTTTTTTTGTTTCTTAATAGAATTCTTTGTCTATTATAAATTCAAAAAAATAGTACTTTGTTAAAATGTTTACAAGGAAATTATAAATTCTGAAAAGAGAAAAAATAAAAAATATCGTGAATTTTAATTAAAAAAAAAAAAAAAAAATTAACGTTCAATTAATCGGATTTGTTACGCCGTGAAAATTTCCTTGCAAAAAATTTTCTTTTTTTTTTTTTAATTTTCAATTTGGAATTTTAGTTAAAAGTCGCGGATACACACGAAACACTCTTATTTAAAAACTTTGTAATTATCTCAAAAAAATAATTGTTTAACATTGTAAACTTTTTTTTTTTTACTGATAATTTTTATTATTATTATTATTACTATTAGTAATTTGCCATAAATGTTAATAACCGAAAGAAAGAGAGAGAGAGAGAAAAATATGTATCGTTAAAATAAAAAATTAATCGTTGGTGTGAGAAGAACAACGTACGCATAATTGTGAGAAAAAAAAAAAAAAAAAATTTTTTTTTCGTTGTTTCCTTGATCTTTTATCATTTGCACTTGAAAATTTTTTTTTCTCTCTCTCGAGTCTCTAATAAGTTTATAATTGCAACTTTTTTTGTTGTTGTTGTGTAATAATATTTTTTTGTAACCGTTTTACCGTTAGTCACTTAAAAACAAAACAAAAAAAAAATTACTTGACACTAAAAATCGAGCGAATTAGAGTTTATTGTTTTAGTTTTCAATTAAACCCTTTTTTTCTTTTGGGATCGGGGGGGAGCTCTAAAAAGTTTTGGGATTTAAGAAAAAAATAAATAAATAATAATAATAATAATAATAATTATTGTGGAGGTTGGAAGGAAATGCTTGAAACATATGTGTTCGATTGTGATGTTGAGAGAAAAAAAAAGCACGCATGCGATGCGTAGTAGTTTCTTTTCTTTTTTTATCACTATTTATTCTTTTTTTGTTTGAAAAAAATTTAGTAAAAGTGTTGTTAATGTCATTTTAAGGTAATTTTTAATAAGATAAATTTGTAAACCAATAAAACAATACTAAGACCGCTGCGATTGCTTTGAACACATTTTTTTGAAGGCCAGTTTTTAAAAGAAGTCATTATTATTATTATTATTATTAATATTATTATTAAATTATCATGATTGTTGGTCAAATAAAGAGATCGAAGGTCGTTACGATATTTCGAAAATGATTTTTAAAAAAAATAAATAAATAAAATAAAATTATTATTATTTTATTTATTTTTATCAAGCTTAAAAGAAAAAAAAAAATCAAAATAATTAAATCGACTGTCTCTCTCTCTCTATCTCTCTCTTTTTCTCTCTCTGTCTCTCTTTCTCTCTGTCTATTATTCTCCGCGTTCTTTTCACTTACCGATGCATCTAATTTAAATGATGAAAAAAAAAAAAATTCAAATTATTAAAACAAAAATTTGCATTAATACGGTTAAGTGATTTTAAAAAAATAATTTTTTTTTTTTTTTTTTTCAGATCGGAGCATCGTTTCACAAGTCAAAAGTTATGTTGCAGGCCGTGGATCCGAAATTAGTTAAAACGGAACCGGAAATGAACAAAACAAATTCCAATTTCATACATTCCTCCACTAGAAAAAGCTTTATAAGAGATAATAAAGTGTCTCCACCTAAATTATCGTTAAAAATGATGGAAGAATCGGGTGGTGAAGACGAATCAGTCGAACCATCGGCCATTTTTCAACCCCAACGAACGCGTAAGATAATTGTCTTTTTTTTTCTTTTCTCCCCCCCCCTCCCGTTTTTTCTTCTTTCCCTCTTTTGTAATATTTAGTATTTTTTGTATTTTTTTTTGAAATTTGTGTAACTGATAAAAAAAGATTTGTTTTTTTTTTTTTTTTTTTTTTTTTTTGTTTTTCTTACGGCAAATATTTCAATTTGCCCGAGTTTTTATCTATATGAAACCTACGCACCACCTTTGAGATATTTGGCAGGTACTTTAAAACCTCGTAGGAAAAAATTAAATTTTGAGTCATCTTTGAATCGAATTTTCAGCCTTATTGTATATATATATATAATAAGTTGGAGGCGGGGAGGCGTGTCAAATAGTCACCCAATTTCAATTTTGTTTTTCTAGGCTAACAATTTTTTTTTTTTTTATTTAACCGTAAATAAATTATCATTATTATTCTTTATAAAGGATTTGACGATGTAGAAATTTCGTCATGTCATTTATTGCAATACGAATAATAATTTCAAATTTCAAAAAATTACCCGTAATAAATTTTAAAATTTTTAAATGATTCTTGTTACTTCTATTGAAAGTTATTGGAACGAATAAATGCAATGAAAACAAAATTTTGTTGTTGTTGTTTTTGTTGTGCGTAGCTTAAAGCTATTGTGTTTATTGCACTTAATAAAATATATATTCTATATCGTTATTTATTTTATAATCAAAAATTTCACTTGTAGTTGATTTGCATATTAAAGCTTTATTTGTCACTTTTGTTTTAGTTACGCGTACACCTCCTCTTATTTCTGAACCGGTTTTATCATCCATCGATACAGGTTTGTGTTTTGCACACGATTCACTATTGATTTTTTTATGTGCATATCATTGTTTCCGATCGAGTGTTGGAAACAATAAAAAAATAAATAAATAAATGGTTTCATCACGTTTTGTTTTTTACAGATTTATCTTTACGACTTAATTCAGCAACTTCAGATTCCGAGCCTTTAAGTTTAAGTAGTTTGGATAGCAATCCGAGAGTTCATGTTACTGTGCGTTCGCCATCTCCAAGACTGATTCAAAAAGAATTGCCTCCTCTTGTAGATTCAAAAAGGGAAAATCGAAAAATTAATGCGGTGAATAAAACAAGGCCACCTCCGGCTCCTCCTGAAAATCACGAGGAATCGAGGCTGGGCTCACCCAGACGGCAAAACGCTACCAAAGTCAACAATGTGATGAAGTACGTTTCGTCAGAAACAAAGACTGAATTTTCAATAAAGTAAGTATGCAAAAATTGAACAACATTATTATTTTTTACGAACGTTGCAAAAATTTCCAGCGTGAAACTCATATAACCGTAAATAACTTTTAGGGCAAATAATATTCGTGGATCAGATCCAAATTTACATAAGCCACCGGTAGCTGCAAGAGTACGAAAAAATTCCTTAAGCTTACATTCGAATGGTTCTTCGGAAAATAGTCGACTTGACGATCCCCTCACGAGGGTTCGTGAAAAAACTTCTAGAAATATAATGTCTCCTCGACCAAGTTCATCTCTACCTCCCGCATATATAACTACTCCTCACCCTGTTGATCCTAGTCCCGAAGACGAATACATACCAATGTCGGGAGACAGGCCGTCAGGGTTAAGCATGGACGATTTCCTACCTGTGAGTAGCCAATCAGTACCAATTTTTCATTTAGCAACCAACATTTACTGATATTAATGCGTTTATATTTTCAATATTTCAGAAAAATAGCAGTACCAGTTTTCCATTTTTACAAACTTGTCCCAACATGTCCGAAGCGGAAGGATTATCTTCCATAGTTCGAGATCATAATTCAATGATGGCAGTTTTAATGAATCGTCATAAAAGTTTAAAAACGGTTTTTTCTGTCTGGCACAGAAAAGATACGAAGGCAGCCATCGAATATGCGGTCGCTTTAGAGAATCCGAGTGTAATGGTGGATTTGTTGAGTGTTTTAGTGTTAAGACCTTCCATTTGGACTTTAGATATATGTGGAAACGTATTGCCTTCAATATCGAATTTATTACAAAGCAAATATGAATTGTAAGTACCTTTTATTTATTTATTTATTCATTTATTAATCGTTACTCAAGTTCTCAAGAAGAGTAATTAATATTATTCGTTTTACTGTTATTGTCTTTTTATACTTTTTGCATATTTATTTCCGGTTCGCATTAAACAAAAAAAAAAAGTCGAAAGTCGTTCGACCAGAATTTTAATAACTAATTGCATAATATGTATGTATACGTGGTTGTCCTTATAAGGTTTCCAAGTAATCATCTTTTATGAATGATATTCACTTCCATTGTCAAATTAATAAACCAAAGCCATTTAAATCTTGGCATAAAGATCGGTGTGTGTGTGTGTGTGTGTGCGTGTGTATTTGCTTTACAAAACGTAATAGTAGGTGAAATCAAGGTTGAATTTAAATTTTTCAAATGCGCAATTTTACTTTTTTTTTTTTTTAAAATTAATTTTACTATTTTATTATTATTTAATTTTTGCGTTTTACGCAATTGAAAATAAATCACGTATTTTACGTTTATCGCATTTTTACGCGTTTTTTTATTTGAGGTGTGAGGTTTTGACGTGATTGTCAAGTTAAAAAATTTGATTTTTTTTGTTTTAAATTTTAACTTTTACGTTTTTCTGTTGTAAGCTTTGATTTTTTTATATTCCGAAGGTTTCAATTTTTTTTTTCGGTGACTTTGCAGTTTCTTTTCTCCCGTTATTTTTATAGTTTTGCGGTTAATTGTGTGGTTTAATTAATGCTTTCACGATGCCATTAAATTTATTGTTTTCTCACCTGTGAAGAACAAACGTTACAGATGATACGTAATAATTTATTTGGTGGTTTTTTTTTTAATAGTAAAATGGGTTGTTTGTGACGCTGTTGTTGAGTCGGGGGATCCAAGGCGTGAATCCCTGTTTTCCCGCCCGCCTATACTTTTATAACTTCATCATTTTTAAGTCGACAATATGATTAAAGTTATTTGTTTTTTTTTTTTTTTTTTTTTTTCGCGTAGGATTTTAAAAATAACGATAGAGAAAGATTGACTCGTGTTTATCCGCCTAGGGGCTTATCAAATTGCACTAAATTTTTCATTTATAATTAATTGATATGATTGATTTATTTTCTCATTCAATTCTTTTGTTCTCTCTCTTTCTATCATCATTTCTTTTTTTTTTCTTGCGTCCCAATTAGAGTTTTTTCCTTCACGATTTGTTTTTCATTTTTTTCTTACATACGAAGATAGATCATTAATTTTTCTTCTCATTTAATTACTCTTTTTTTTTTTTTTTTTTAATAACAGTTTATTTGTCATCGAGTGACGTTGAAAATCATTATTGTACGTCGTATAGAAATCAATTAAAAGAATTTTTTTTTTATTTAAACTTATAAATAAGTCGGAAAAGGGTTTGTTTTTCTCCATTATCATATTTTATTATCCTTTGATAACAAAAACTTTTGTGGTAGGAATTTGAAAGTTAATGACGATAATCGGCAACGGGTCCGAAACGTGCGTCCGATAAAAATATCTTGTTAAAATGATTTATATTTTTTGCATAGGTGGAAGCGCCGAGAAGGGAGGGGGGAGGGGAAAAGGGTTGCGAACGATTTGGGGTGTGAAATTGGCCAGGCGGGAATTTCTAACAAAAGATGTGAAATCGAAACAGAAGAAGAAGGAAAAAAAACGGTCTCTCTCTATCTCCGATTGTGCCGACCAACTCTTTCTCTCCCTCCCCGATTCTCCAATTTCTAAAAATGGAGCATTTACTCACCCACCCCCCCTCCCTTTTTTGGAAAAGTTGTCATTGAACGAATTGTATTTCGTGAATGAAAAAAAAATAAAAAAGGTTCCCATAAAGGCTCGACCTCTCAATGATTATATGAGCGGTCCGATTTCTTCGGATCGTTTCGTACGTCGAGTGTGACCAACTTTTTTATACAAATAATGCAAATGAGATGTGATGTGCGGATGATTATAGGCGGATCATTTATGGGAAACAAAAACTAACATTTGTCGTCATCGTCGTCGTCGTCGTCGTCGTCGTCGTAGGTGTTTTTAGAAATTCATTTGTTGAAAAATGATTTATCTCGAAAATTTTTTCCACCATTTATTTTAATCGTCATCGATAATAATAATTATTGTTATTATCATATGCAAAATTTTCAAAATTCCAAACAAGAGTTTCTTTTGTTTTAAAACTTAAGGTATACAATTTATTAACGAATTCTCGTTCGATATATTTCGAGTTCGATATTTCTCCTCTCTTTCATTTCCTTCAACCAATAATAAACGCGTTAGTAAACATTGCGATTTTCGAAAGTTTTTAATTTTTTTTTTTTTTTTTGTTTTAAATCGATTGTTAATAATTTTATTACGTGATAGAAAGTAGGGTTAATGATCGGTAAAAGGAAAAAGTGCGCTCATGATTTTAATTAATTTTTATTCACGTAATTTGAAATCAATTGAAGTGCTATCACTTTTAACTAATAATAATAATAATAATAATTATTATGATGATGATGATGATGATGATGATGATGATGATGAAATTCGCATTACCCCCCCCCCTTTTTTTTCTTACGTTTGATATTTTTAATTGAATTTTAATAAAACTTGATGAAATCTTAATAATTTTCTATGCGCCTTTCACAATAAATTTTCGTATCTACGATGATGATGATGATGATGATGTTTTTTATTTTTATTATTTGTGACAATGAAGAGTTAGAAGTTCTTTGGAAAAAATGAAAAAAATTTATTTATAAAAAACGTTTCGTTATTATTATCATTCGTTAATTTATTTTTTTGATATCGTTTTTTTCATTCGCCGACCCGATGGTACTTGCACGAATGTAAAATTTTTTTTTTTTTTCTCACCCTCCTTCAAAGTTTTTATTTTATATTATTATTTTTTATTTTTTTTTATTTTTGGACAGCGGGTTTTAAAAACTCTCGATCGAATTTAAAAAAAAAAAAAAAAAAAGAAAAAAAAGGTTTCAAGTTTTTTGTTTTCAAACAAGCAGACAATCAAATAATAGTAAAAGAGATTCTAAAAAGTTGTTTGGGTTTCTTATTTGTTTTCATCATTTGCATGTATTAAAAAAACTGACGAAGTAATTAGCAGGCCTGTCATCGCGATACAAAAGAATCTTTTTTTTTTTGCATATATCAGAGAGAGAGAGACAGTCTCTGAGTGGTCCTAAACTCGATTTTCATAACGGAAAGTGTGCGAGAGGGTAGTTCAAGAAGGTGACGGTGGTGATCGGGGTGGTGGTGGTGGCGATGATGATAGTTTCAAATAATTCATCCCTCGCTGCTTTTCATATGTCGCGCTCAAACCCTTTCGGTTTCGCATTATTATTTTTTATATATGGTTATTCATTCATTCCCGTGAAATTTCGTTTTATTACTATTATTATTATTTATCATTTTTTTTTTTTATTGTCCGAACGATTTCGTCATCCGCGTCGAATGGAGAAAATTTTTTTTTGGTACCGAAACGGTTACGACATATTATGTTTCGTACGCGAATGAATTTTCGTCGAAACAAATTAATTTTTTTTTTTTTTTTTGTCAAAGGAAATATAAATAATTTACCGATAGATTTTTCATTCATCGGTTCATTTTTATATATATATATAAATAATTTTTTAATTTTAATTTTTTTTTTTGTTTTGTTTTTTAGACACATGACGACGGGTTGCGCGGCTTTGTCTCTCATATTGCGTAATTTTTCGCATATAATAAAAACAAACGTTCGTGCTCCGATTCACACGGTCGGAGTGGACATATCGAGAGAAGAACGATATAATAAATGCCTTAAATGTTACAAAAGCCTTATTTCGATTCGATCTTTTCTATTGAAAAAACAAACGGTTCAAGGAAAGATGGGACAATCATTCAGGGAACTTCTTACTCTCACGGAAGGACTCGAATGAAATTATCATAATCATCATCATCATTACTATTATTATCATTATCATTATTATTATTATTAGTTAATATCTACTATTGCCTGTGATAATTGCAGTCATTTTTTTTTTTTTTTTTCGTCTATGATTTTAAATAATTAATTATTGATAATTTGTTTTTCGAATCAATTTTCGAGCGAATGGAAAACTCGTTTTTTTTTTTTCTTACGAGAAGTTACGCTATTGAGTTTTTTTTTAAGGGAATGGAGGGTAGGAAGTGGGGAGGGGGTTGTTTAATGTTAACGGATTGTTTTTTAACTTTATGGGAGTACTTTTCCTGTAGAAATGAAAAGGCGATGTTTCGTATTATAGTTCACACGTTGAATGTTCAAAGGAAGTTTTATGACTTTAGAAAATTAATTTATTATTTCATACTCTATCTATCTAACTATCTCTTTCTATCTCATTCGAAAAAAAAAATAAGTGCAAAAATTATTATTATTATTTTTTCGTTTGTTTGTTTTTTAAATTGCTCACATCTTTAATTTTTTTTTTTTTTTTGCCAAAGTGCAATAATGGATTTAATAATATTTAAATTTATTCGTATGAGGATTTAACGGAAATGTTTTTACTTTCTCTCTCGCTCTCGAACGAATTTTTTTTTTTTGCGAGGTCGTTTATGTCTTTTTTTTACTTATTTATTGAATAAATTTAAAACCACCGATGAACTCTTGACAACAGATAATACAAAACGTTTTTATATATATATAAATATTTACATAAATTGTGAGATACGAGTCGCATATAAAAAAAAAAAATTTAATTTCCGTAACGATAATTTTTTTACGTTTGCAACTTTCGTGCTTACTTTTTCTTTTTTTTTGTTTCCTTTTTTTCCTTTTTTTTTCCTTTTTTCCAGAGATATCGAAACAAATAAATAAAAAACAATCCATATAACGTTTTTCATTCGAAAAAAAAAATAATAATAATAATTTTTTTTTTGCTTTAAATTGATCGAAAAATAATTTGAAAATAAATAATAGAGACTAGTCTTAGATTATTACTATTATTATTATTATTATTAGTTTTTTTTTAATTAATATTGATTCCTATTATTCACCGGTTCAATTCAATTATTATTATTATTATTTTCTTTTTTTCCCCCCTTTTAATTTTATTATTATTATTAAAAATTTAAAAAAAAGAAAAAAAGAAAAAGAAGAAGCTTTGACTTTTATTCGTGTATGTATATATATTTATATTATTATTATTATTATTATTATTATTATTATTATCATTATTTAATATTTGACCTCTTGAATAAATTAAAACGTAACTGAAAAATAATTATGAGGTCAAATGTCAAAGCTTTTTCTGAAAAAACAATTTTTCTTTTTTTTTTTTTTTTTGTTCAATTATTTCTTCACATTCACAATAGAAAGTAGATCATTCGTGAATTAATATTATTATTATTACTATTACTATTACTTATACTATTACTATTACCTTTTTTTTTTTAATATTAATTTATAAATTGTAAATAATTAATTGTTAACTAATATTTTAAGAGGATTAATTAATAATTAATTAATTAATTAATTTCTTTTCTTTTTTTTTTTTAAATTAAAATTTTGTAATCGAAGAATAAAAAAATGAAAAACGTTTGGAAAAAAAAAAGACAGCAGACAACCCCAACAAACACGTTCGCGTCGTCATTCGAATTATTATTATCATTATTATTATTAAACTTTTTTTTTGTTGTTGTCGTCGT